CCCCGCAATCCCCCTACTGGGAATATACCCTGAAGAACGCAAATCACTCTATAAAAAAAATACCTGCACACGCATGTTTATCGCAGTGTTGTTCACAATAGCAAGAACCTGGAAACAACCATGCTGCCCATCAAAAGAGGACTGGATTTTAAAAATGTGGTACATATACACGATGGAACACCACGCAGCCATAAAAAAGAACTAAATCATGAACTTCGCAGCAACCTGGATGGAACTAGAGTCTATAATACTGAGTGACCTCTCACAGAAACAAAGATCCGAGTATCACATGTTCTCACTCATATAATGGACCTTGAACATCCAATGTAATACTATAAGAAAATGACTGATGGTACTGGGAAACTATGGGGTGGGGGGATGGGATTAACAGTAGCAAATATCTGTCTGGGGATGGGAAAACACCTCTTATCAACAGGGTGCCTGAATGAAACGTAATTGTACACCTAACCCTTAACTGTACCCCACAAAACCATAATAAAAAATATTGATTAATAAAAAAAAAGTATTGTTTCACAAGGTATTTCTGAAATATCAGATGGGATGCTTGGGTGGAGATCCTTACTCAAATTCAATTAATAAGCATGATTTCAGATACAACATGGACTCTGCCCACTCATGTTTGTAAATGATTTATTTGTATCAACCCCAAGGCTATTTGACATGTAAATATCTCTTTTTGACAGTTGATTTCTTCATTTCTTCTTTTTGGAAGATAAATAGAATCTAATCTAATACTCTAATGTTAATGTCTAGAGAGCAACAAATGTGCAAACTTCAATATAATACACAGAATTTAAATCATTAAATTAAATTCTCTTCACTCCATCGATAATTTCATCAATTTCCGGTATAGTTACCACTCACATCACCCAAAGAACATTTTACAATTCCTGCTCAGTCTGTCCAAGGATGAAGCAACACTGTCTCACCTTGAAAACTGGCTCTTCCCCAACAAAATCCATAAAGCCATCCCCAAGTTATTTTGTTCTTTCAGCTTCCATTCACGTAAAATAATGCTATATCTAGCATACATGAAATTTTCACCTTTGACAAAGACTCCTCTCTGCTCAGAGAATGAGGAACCACAAATTATTTTCAAAGTTCTTCATTTCTTAGAAGACAATCTGAGGAAGAAAACTGAAAATGTGTTCTCCTAAGTCTCACATGTGCTCCATGAAATCAATTAATGCTTTTTCCTTAACTAGACTGTTGTTGTCTCTTACTGTAGTCACAGCAGGAATGGCAGCAAGTCCGTATAATTTTCATTTAGCTTCTATGATAAATAATGTGCAAAGTCTAGAACCAGTCCCTGAAACGGTGCAGAGCTATTTCCCTGAGACCTGGATCTGGGGGCTGGTGGTGGTGGAGTAAGTAACTTCACTCCCCTCCATTTACTGTGTGGGAGGGATTGTGGATCCTCCAGTACTTTCAATTTTAGGATGATATTTCTGAAAAGTTATACATAGTTATCTTAACCTTTTACTTTTTCAGGAGAGAGTGAAGTAAAATGCTATAATTGTATACATTCGTTAGAACAATTGTCTGAGAGCTGAGCAATTCTGAAATAAGTATTTCTGAAACTGTAGGAAAGTAGTCATGAAAATTAAAATATCCAAGAGCCATACATACTGCCTCGTACCATTCAGGAATCTTTCCATAAACAGTAAGGCTAGAATAAGCATATAAACATATCAGGGTACATTAATTCAATGGTCTAATTGATGGATCATGATTCTTAAAAATGCTTATTTATAGGATTGTAGAGGAGTGAACTGAATCATGATTTAAATTTTTTTTTTAAAGCACAGACGTATAGGTTATTACCATAGGTTGGTAAGGAAAAGAGGTACCATTTAGTACCTTTTTCTTTACTCAGTTCCCAGCACATAATCTGATATGCATGTGTGCACACACCCACGCACCCATACATAGACTCAGTTCTTGACATTAGCGTTATGCATATTGATCCTTGATGAGAAAAGATGACTCACCTACTTTCTTTCTGCTCTTCACATTGTCCCCCTCCCAAGCTCATCAGGTGCAGCTGAGGTAGGAGTAACAGTCCCTGACACCATCACTTCATAGGAAGGCGGGGGCCCTCTGCCTATTGGAAGACAATGGACTTGGCCTCTCTCCCACTGCCTCTCTCCGGGCCTTCCAGCCCTTCTTTGGGGAGCTCACAATGCCCTACTCCGTGGTTTGCAGAGAGGCCTTCACGCTCAAGGCCACCGTTTTAAACTACCTTCCCAAATGCATCTGGGTAAGAAAAATGAGGGCAAATTAAAAGGGTGGATAGAACCAGAGACTTCTTTGGTCAGTCAGCTGATTCTGTTCCAGGACTAAGGATAGTTCAGGGAATTATGGGTTGGCACTGCAAATATATAGTCCTTAGCAAAGCAGGACATGATCACAGAAATAATACAATGTTATATATGTTCCAAGTGCTTAAACCATGGCTCTCTAAACCATACTCTTAAAAAAAAAATTCTAAAGCTTGCAGAATTCTTTGCCATAAGTTAGTTTTTTTTGGGGGGGGTATTCTTATTTTAAAGACGCGGGGTACAATTCAGGGTTAGGTACACAGATGGTCATTGTACAGGTAAAGTTTGGCCTTCACTTTGGTCCCCACTTCACATGGCTTGAGATCAGGTGCCCTTATTAATGAAGTGTGCCCCACCCTCCACTCTGGCAGTTTCTCACTACTGCCAATTCCTTTCTTACAGTACTATGATAATTGCTCAGGATCCACTTATGAGTGAGAGAACATGTGACACTTAGTTCTTACAAGTTAGTTTTTATGCCAGGAAGATTCTTGAAGCTAACACAAAGCTCAGCTTTCTAAATTAAGTGTCTTTTTCCAAGTCCTCATCTTGAAATCTCCACAGTATATAGTTTTAATTTCTGTTATAGTATTTATCTCTTTGTAAATTATGTAATAGTTTCATGTATCGATTATCTCTTTTGCAAAACAAGATCCTCAAGATCAGGAACCTCTTATATACCAACCATAGTGTTCCATGCCTTGTATAGAGTAGACATGTAATACATGAAGGAGGAGGCAGAGAAGAGAGAGAGGAAGGAAAAATCGGGAAGAAAATATACACAGCAAGTAGGAACCCAATAGGTAGTGCCCCCAAAGGCAACACACAATTGCTACTTTCCCCTTTCCTTTGCTGTTACATCTGTAGATTTCTCCAATCTACTCTAATATAAATGCCAGTTCCTCCTAATAGATCACCAATCTTGATTTGTGTCATTGTCATTTTCTTGCTTTTTTTTTTTTTTGAGTTGGAGTCTCACTCTGTCGCCCAGACTGGAGTGCAGTGGCCGCTCCCGGCCACCGCAGCCTCAACCTGCTGGGCTCCGGCGATCCTTCCGCCTCAGCCTTCCGAGGAGCTGGAACTACAGGCGCGCGTTACCACGCCCGGCTAATTTTTTGATTTATTGTAGAGATGAGGTCTCGCCAAGTTGCCCAGGCAGGTCTCGAACCCGCAGGCTCAGGCAATCCACTCACCTCAGCCTCCCAAAGCACGGGATTACAGGCTGAGCCACCGAGCCCAGATTGCTTCTATTTTTTTTAATTTTTAATTTTAAAGATGTGGGGTACAATTCAGGGTTAGGTATATAAATGTTCGTTATGCAGGTACCCTTGTTAATGAGGTGTGCCTCGCCTCACCTGCCCCCTCCCCAGTAGATTCCCACTACTGCCAAGTTCTTGCTTCTTAAAGCATAAATTTCTGTCATACATTTTTCTTATAACTCCTGATTTACTATAGCATTCCACATTTGACTCCAATTCTACATGTTCATGTCTTTTCATCATTTCTGTCTCTTTGCCTCACTCATGGGCGATAGGCCAATGTGCAGCTGAAAGCCTCTCCAGTCTTTCTAGTTTCCCAAAATAAAAACAAAGAAAAATCCTACTGTATCTGTGGAAATGAGCGACAAACCTCGTCTTGGACAGTGACTCCTAAAACTCTGGGTGAGTGCCAGACCTCAAAAGTGTCCATCAGTCAACAAGGATGGTGGATATCTGAGCATTCCTTTCATCATACTCTGTTTGCTTCCTGTAGATACAATTCTATAAAGTTAATTTCTTTCATTTTTATTTTTATCCACAATGACTGCTTCCTACTATTCTTCCGAGTTGGTCCCTACAGTCATTATTTTTGGACTTTGGGTATTCAGTTCAATTAGCCTCTTTTTTTTTAACTGTTTATTTTCTATTCTGGCCAGTTGTAAGGTTAAAGTGCAGCCCTTAAAGGTGATTGAACTGCTCTCAATGGATATTCATTTTTTCCATTTTCTTTGTTTTAGGAAATGTGAACTTCTCGGTGAGTGTAGAGATGATTCAGTCCCTAGAATTGTGTGGAAATGAGGTTACTGAGGCCCCTGAAATTGGGAGGAAAGACACCCTATGGGTGGAGGTAAGGCAGCATGGCCCACTGAACATTTTTCTGAGTTACTAACTGTATGAGTAAAACACAGTGTGGACATTCTTGAGACAACAAATTAATATCATATGCAATAATCTATCCTATAAAACTAATAAAATTTCCTACCCTAGATGTATTGCAGGAAACACTGCCTGCAATTGTAAATAGTGTTTTCCATAAATTATTTGAGAACGATTCCATTTTTTTTACCTTCACCTTTCTCCTAAGATACATATTTCCCATACCTATTACCTTGGATTCACTGCCTTTATTATCTCTTCTCATTTTCTGTCCACCAACCTCCCTGGTTCTTTCACTTTTATGGCATTGTAATAATTTAATAATAAATAAGATGTTAAATATCATTTCATGTAAACCCTGCCCTTCAAAGAAAGGATTCTACATTTGCCTCCTGTCAGCAGAAGTTTATGCCTTTTTTCCTTTTCTTTCTTTTCCCCCCAAGCCTGAAGGGATTGAGCAAGAGAAAACTTTCAACTCCATGACCTGTGCTTCAGGTAAGAGTCCATCGACACAGTCATAGTGGGAGCAAAGCTACACAGGGGTACAAACTTCAAGTGACAGTATACATGCATATATATTATCTCCCAGTTTTCAGTGATTCACTAAAATCTGCAAAATACTAAATATTTCTTTATTCACATTTTATAGATGAAGACAGTGAGCTCAAAGGAGTAAGCTAAGGTAACTTAGATGGTACAGACAATGCTGGAGCTTTCTTATTCCACACTTACACTCTTAGGTCAATAGCCCAGTAGCTCATTAACAAGCTTGGCTTTAACATTTAGAGTGTCCCAGGACTAGGAGGAAAGAGAGTAGAGGCATGATAAGTGTGAATCACAAGAGATCGTCTGAAACAGATGCTGATGAAACATATGGCACTTTGTACTCATCTCACTAAAAATGTTATAAATGGCAAAAATTTACATTTGACTTCATCATATTATTAAGAAACAGTTGTAGCTTTTATACAGTCCTGCCACATTCATATTAGTTCTATGCCCAGAGTGTATACAACACTATATTTGTCATTTGAGAAGCATTAATTTAAGGTGTATTCATGTTATTTATTTATAAACATGAGAAGACATTCAAATGTTGCATAGAATATGGGAGGAAGTGAAATAACATGCATAAGTCTTAATAATTCTATAATAAATTAGAGAACCATAGGTCTTTACCAGCTTCCAGTCTTCTTTTAGAGACCTGCTGGACACAGGATGCAAAATATGCTTAAGTGAGAAGGAATGGACTCTAGAAGTCACATAAGTGCCCATAGGAAATGGACTATTTAAGGTAATTTCATCAAGTCAAATTCTTATTACTTGCATCCAGTTTCCCTCAAGGAGATGCAATAATACTACTGCTAACTATAATAATAACAAAACAATAATAATAATTGCTAATATTTATTGACACTTAATGTGTTACAGATACTGTTCTGAATGAATGTTTTACATGTGTTCATCAGATCATCACAATTTACCCAACATCACAGAGCAGGGCCAGAATCATATCCAATGTGGCTCTGAAGCTCCCACTCCATTATACTCACTACATTATGTTGTAATCACGGATGCCCTTCTTTGATAAGGGTTGTTTGTTTCTAAAGGTGCTGATATGTCTGAGCAGCTGTCTCTGAAACTCCCATCAAATGTGGTCAAAGAATCTGCCAGAGCCTCTTTCTCAGTTTTGAGTGAGTCACTTTGCACTTAGTAAACTTGAGTCAAAAGAGTCACCACTGTATATTTTGTCTATATATCTGCATCTAATTATCAGATTATTATTGTTTATATTTTTATTAGGGTCCTGGAAGTCCTCTCGGTAAATATAACATTTCCTGTACCTAAATGATAAGAGTATATGACTCTAAATATAAAAGTAATTTGTTGTTAATAATGTTAGCTACTTATGGACTGAAATTACTCCAATATTTAATCTTTCACATTCCCCGGGTGACATACTAGGTTCTGCTATGGAAAACATACAAAATCTCCTACAGATGCCCTATGGCTGTGGAGAACAGAACACGGTCCTATTTACTGCTAATATCTATGTCTCGAATTATTTGAATGGAACTCCACAGCTGACTCAGGAAACTAAGGCCAAGGCCACTGGCTATCTCGTCAGTGGTAAGAGAGGGAAATTTTTACTTTATTACTCTAATGAGACTTTTCCCAACTAGGCTTAAGTTATATCATGAAATATCAGCCCATGGTGATGATTTTTATGGGAACAAAAACCTTCCCACATTCTAGTAGGATGTTGTGTTTTAATATGTCTATAATATCCACAAAACTATGACAGATCCTCCACACAGGGGATTATAAAATGTTCATTGCTCCTGGATGATCGGCCTGCACATAGAGATGGCCTGCCTTTCTTGAATGCTTCATGAACTATTTGAAGCTTTCCATTTCAGGTTACCAGAGACAGCTGAACTACAAACACCAAGATGGCTCATAAAGCACCTTTGGAGAAAAATATGGCAGGAATGAGGGCAACATTTGGTAAGAAAAGAAAACCTATTAGTTTCAACTATGAGTTCAAAGCACACAAGTATATGACCTCTCTTAGTCCATTTTCTGTTGCTTATAACAGAACATCTGAAACTGGGTAATTTATAAAGAAAAGGAATTTATTTACTACAGTTATGGAGGCTGAGAAGTCAATGATCTAGATGTTACATCCGTCGAGAGCCTTCTTGCTGGTGGAGACACTCTAAAGAGTCCCAAGGTAGGCAGCGCATCACATAGCAAGGGAGTCGAGTGTGTTAACTCAGTCTCTCTTCCTCTCTTATAAAGTCACCAGTCCCACTCCTATGATAAACGATTAATCCATGAATAAATTAATCCACTCTTGATGGAACTCTCAACACTGCCACATTGGAAATTTAGATTCAACAAAAATTTTGGTGAGAACGAACAAACCATTTCTAAATCATAGCTTTGCCCTATTTAATTCTTACAGCAACCCTGTAAAATGAAAGTTATTAGCTTCATCTTACATAGAAGAAAACTAATATTATGTTTGGATAAATAAATAAATAAATCAGTCATGAGCATTTGATAAGTGGCAGAACTGAGAATACTTTGAAGTTGATTTTTTTATTCAATATACAAAGACCTTCTTCCTTCTCATGTTGCTAAGAGCACATCAAAAGTTTATGATTTGTTCACTTAAGTTGCTCAGCATTGAAAAGTATTAGAAATATGCTAGAAAAACTGTAACTATTACTCACAGAGCATACTTCACTACCTTCTACTAAATGACATTCCTCTCTTCTCCTCTCTCTCTCTCTCTCTCTCTCTCTGTCTCTCTCTCTCTCTCTCTCTCTCATTCTCTCTGTCTCTCTATAGTCTGACCACACAGGCAAACAAGGGAAAGGAAAGTGGCAAAGGAGAAATATGATGGTAAAATAAGTATTTATTAAAACAGGACATTATAAGTTAGCCCATTAGAGTACAATATAAGCTTCAGAAAAGAAAGTAAGAAGTCTATGAGAATAAATAAATACATAAAGCCCAGAATGTAAAAGTAAATGCCTCCATTAACCACCCAAGGAAGCAAGAAGGATTCTGAATCCCTATAATGACATTGAAGTGCTTTAGGAAGCAAGAACAAGTTGATAATGTATTTAATAACATGGGAAAGCAAAACCAAAGAATATAGAAACTTCTAAGTTAAAAGAAAGTCTCCAGACTCTCTGTAGCTGCTCATTGACTCTCATGGGGGCGCATTGTGAGGAGGAATACTATGTGTGCAAAACAAAGTATTAAGGTACTACATGAAAACAAATAGCCTCAACACTGCATTCTTCCTCTCCCTAAGGCTCACAGCCTTTGCACCGAAGACTTTTGTTCAGGCTCAAACCTACATCTTCATCAACGAAGCACACGTCACCCAAGCCCTCAGGTGGCTCTCCCAAAAGCAGAAAGACAATGGCTGTTTCAGGAGCTCTGGATCACTGTTCAACAACGCCATGAAGGTGAACTATTCTGCAAACTTTGCCTGAACCTCCTGATCTATCAATGTAACATCCTCCAAGGATGAGGGGAGGAAGGAGACACAGGGAAATTGCAAAGATGAAGTCCTGGATAATGTAGGAGGGCACCAGGGAAAGAATATTAGCCCTTCTATAGAGAAGGAAGAAATTATTTTGTGTGAGGAGGTTACTTTACCTGACAGAGACGAGTTCCCAAGGAGAGTTTCTATCAAACAAGAGAAAACTAAAATTTGGAGTTGAAATTAATCAAAATTCATCTCAGTGTCTCTCACTCTCTTGCTCTCTGTCTCTTTCTCATGTCCGCAGGGAGGAGTAGAAGATGAAGTGAATCTCTCCGCCTATGCCACTATTGCCCTTCTAGAAATTCCTCTCCCAGTCACTGTAAGTATCAGTTCCCCACCATAAGAACTGTCAAGTTGCTGTCTGGAATGCCACTCCATCAAAAGCCAAGTTTCAGGTTTCTTTGGCTCAGTGATTGAGGTATTTCTCAGATTGATAAGTCTTCAGTCAATGCATTCAGAGGGATTTCTATCTGTCCCGTAATGCCCTCCAACTGTGTACCAAAACGAATCCTAAAACCACATGTTTTCTAGTCTTATTATTTAGGACTTAACTATACAGCTAAGAGATCTAAAATATTTTTCTATTTAAATATTACTGGGTGGGGGCTGATTGGCAGTAGTGGGAATCTGCCGGGGAGAGGGCACACCTTATCAACAAGGGTACCTGCATAATGAACACTTTTATTGTACCCCACGTATTTAAAATAAAAAATGTATAAAAATATATATATATCATGAACACCTGTTGTCTTTTGACTGTCTGAAAACCATGAATGGCACCTGCCTCGCAATATTCAGTTCATGGCTTGCTCAGTCCTCTACTCATCATCATTTGACACCACTCCTTCTTTGGCCTGTATAGCACCCTGTTGTTCGCAATGCCCTGTTCTGCCTGGAGTCAGCCTGGAACACAGCAAAGGAGGAGACACACAGAAGCCACGTCTACACCAAGGCATTGCTGGCCTATGCTTTTGCCCTAGTGGGAAACCAAAACAAGAGTAGAGAAATACTGAACTCACTTCATGAGGAAGCTGTGAAAGAAGGTAAGAACAAATTTTAAAACTTTTCCCTTCCACTGACTTATGTAATTTATTAAATAAATTTATTAACACTAATTCTATAAAAAGCAGAAGAATATATTCTTCTTCACGGAAATCAACAAGCTTTATCTTTAATTCTTTATTCAAGTCATATGTTGCAAGATCAGAGTTCTACTTGCAAAAATATCTCCTCTGGGAGTACGTGTTAAACAAGATATAGCATAATAGTGCCACAGATAAATTATAAGATTTTATTTCTACCTGCTAAAACCAATATGATAGATAATTGCATACATGCTCGTATAATGTTTGCCTACATATTTGGATGAAGAGGTACAATAAAGAGTCATAAGAAAGGAAATGCAATTCCATTTTCAAAGTATTTTTATTCCTATTCACAAAAGTTTTTGAGATCAATAGTTAAATTTTATATTCTAAAGTGTACGCCCATTCTCAGAAAACATCACAAACAGTAAAAAAAAAAACCTCTCTCTACCACTTTTCTCTTCCATCAGTCCAAGTAAATAAACATTGAAGAGACTGGTGAGATTGCTCTATGCTTCCTCCTCCATCCATCTTCCCTACCTTGGTCCCACAGGACTAAACCAAGGTTAGCAAGGAAGTGTGACTTAGTTTTAGGAGCTCGCAGCAGAGAGGACTTTGTTTATCCCCTGTATTATTTTCAGCTCCGTATATTATAAATGTACATTCAGAGGCAACCCCTTCGGGTCCCCTCCCACTGTGGGAGCTTTTCTGTCCTCAATAAATCCTGCTTTCTCACTTTATAACAATAAATAAATAAATAAATAAATAAATGTGCATTCACTTATTATTTATCCATTATAGTTCTCTCCTTTTTCTTGCCCTTAAGACAACTCAGTCCATTGGGAACGACCCCGGGCATCTGTGGTGCATTTTTACCAACCCCAGGCTCCCTCTGCTAAGGTGGAGATGACATCCTACATGCTCCTTGCTTCCCACACAGCCCAGCCAGTCCCAGCTTCAGAGGACCTGACTTCCGCAACACACATTGTAAGGTGGATCACAAGGCAACAGAATTCCCATGGCGGTTTCTCCTACCACACAGATTGGTGATTCCTAAAATGTCTTCTTTTCTAGGCTCACCTGGACTTGGCAACTGGGAGGCTTGAAAATGGAACAGTTACGAAGAAAAAAATAAAATTATTAAATGATAGAAGAGGTATTTTGGGATATTTGAGGATATTGGGGAAATGAAGGAAAGACCTAAGACATTCCCCCAAAAAATTGTTCCCTAAATCTATGTTAATATATTGTCAACATAATGACCCATATCAAACAGCTTTTCTCTCTAAAGCTGTACTATGGTCATCGGACACATTCTAGACCAGGGGTTTTTTTTAGCATCGGCACATAGATATTTGGGGTCAGGTAATCATTGTTGTGAGAGGCTATTCTTGGCATTGTGAGAGGTTAAGTAATATCCCTGACCTCTTCCCTACTAGATTCCAATAGTGCCCCACTCCAGTGGAAACAAGGCAAAATCTCCCCCAGTTGAGAATCATTGTTATAGACTGCTTTCCACATCTTCAGAATCCTACATGAAATCCTTGAAGGTAAAGCAAAAAATTGTGTGATTACATGGAACGTGACTAAGTGGAGTTCCCCTTGATATTTTTAGAATGATTGAGAAGTTCCATCTAAAGCCCTCCCAGGAACTCAATTTCATCCCTCCTTTCTACCTTCCCTGAGAATGTTCGTCTCATTTCCACTTTAAGTTTTCTTTAAGCTGAAGCTCTTGAAATTTCTTTTTTTAAACTGTAATTCTGAAAAATACTTTATTAAAAATATAAACGATTGTGTTAAACATCCGGAAAGTCTGAATTTTTCCTCTTACATGTCTTTGTTCAATATCTAGGATCTACACTGTAAAACGTTTTCAGAGAGATTAAGCAGGGGAAATAAAAACAAACTAGATGAAGAGAAAAAGAAACTTAAGAAAGTGCAACTTGCCTTATACTGTTCTTTTTATTTGCAGCCAATTTTTATCACTCTTCCACCTATCATCAATCATCTAGTTAACAATGGTCATTATTTTTGTGTTAACTTATTAATTTTGACCTATTCTTTGCATAATACATCCAAGAGAACTGTTGAAAAGAAAGAGCAGACCACAGCCTCTAGATATATAGAATAGTTCCCTAGGACCACAGAAGTGCAGATGAAAATAATTTGTGAGTCTAATTAGCATTTTATTTTATTTTATTTTATTTTATTTGGAGAAACTGTAGCATGATTTTAATAATTCCAGGAAGACAGAGAAAAAGAAAAAGTAGTTAGTAAAGATATACCCTGGGGAGAAAGCCGGCTTCCCCAGTGGTGGCTAACACAGACTTTTGGGCAAAATTCCAGCTATCAAAAGTTTACTCTTTGGGTGTGGTGTTTACTCATCTCTTCCAGGACACCGTGGTGGCTCTCCATGCCCTGTCCAGATGTGGGGCAGCAACGTTCACCAGAACTGGGAAAACTGCACGGGTCACTATTCGGGATTTACAAATCTTTTCCACAAATTTCCACGTAAACAACGGCAACCTCCTGTTACTGCAGCAGATCTCATTGCCAGAGCCACCTGGAGAGTATGTCATAAAAGTAACTGGGGAAAGATGTGTTTATCTTCAGGTGGGACTCTGAAGTTACATTGGGAGAGTCAACTTTAAACTCTCTGGTTGAAATGGAAGCTCTACTCTTTCCTTCCTGGGCTAGTAAAGGGTAAGGCTGGAGAGGTTAAATAATGAGAAAGTGAGGGGTTCCAAGAAAAGAGAGAAACTGATGGTAGCTTTGGTGTTCCACAGACATCCATGAAATACAATATTCTTCCAGAGAAGGAGGACTACCCATTTGCTTTGAAAGTACAAACTGCCCCAAACTTGTGATGGACCCAAAGCCCACACAAGGTTTCAGATTTCACTGAACATCAGGTAAGACCTTCTGACCAAATTACTGGTTCCAAAAGCTAACTAGAACTATCAGAAATTAATAGTCCATTTAGAAGCAATGTGATTAGAGGACTATAATTTAGAATTGGTATATCTATTAATGAAGTTAGCCTTATTGCATTATAAAGTGATCTTTAGTAAGTCTTTGTTTTAAAGTTTCAGTAATGCTTTAAAAACATTAAAAAGCAAAGTCTGATATTAAATATGCTAAATAAAAATGTGGACTATTCAAATACTCTAATTTTTATTTTTATTTTGCACTAATTTTTGTCCAATTCATTGCTAAAAATTCAATTATTTTTCTCAAGGATTTGTGCTTTGAGTTGAAGTATTTCTTACTTCTTTTGAATAATTAAATCTTATTTAATTCTTTTTTCTTATCAAATGGATAAATAATAAATGTTAATATTAAATATAAACTATAAATTAAGTATAAAATATAGAGGTCACCCTATCATAACCCATCAAAAACTTAGGAATCCTAAGAAAACAGAAGCGAACAATATTGTTATGTATCTAATATTAATGATACTAATATTAAAAACAAGCCATATTCCAGATAACCAGCACAATTATCAAACATCAAATTATTCAAAGTATACAGCATAAGAGATGTATCTGTGCAACATCTTGGAGCTTCTTTGGGGAAACATGACACATACGAGTTAACTAAAATATAAAAGAAATGTATGCTAAATAGCAAATGAACAGTATAATTGAGTGTCCAAAAACTGTAAGTATCTTTAAAATACAGATTAGGAAGATTCACTAAGAGACTCTGGCGTGATAGTTTGCGGGTAAGTCCTGAACATGTGTGATTTTGGCAAGTGCAGCTCTGATGTACATTTAGGATTCCAACATCAATATTGTATTTCCAAGGAACACAGAGCTCTGTGGATAATGTATTTAATAACATGGGAAAGCAAAACAAAAAAAAATAGAAGCTTTTAGTTAAAAGTTAAAATGTTAGGGAACATTTTCATGGAGATGGACAGGTTTATGATGAGGTTTGAAGAAGGAAATGTGACTTTTCTTCGTATATTAAACCCTCTCTCTTTTTTCTTTGATACTGCAGTTACACAGGGAGCCATCCTGTTTTCAATATGGTGATCATTGATGTAAAGATGGTATCTGGTTTTATTCCCCTGAAACCAACAGTAAAAATAGTAGGTGTAATGTTTTAAGTCTACTGGACCACATACAAAAAGATGCTCTGTATCACCAAACTAAAACCATACCAATATCAAAGCCACATCAATATCATCCTGTCTCAAAAAAAAAATATTTTCCCCAAACCCAGGAAATTAAATTATTTATTTAGCTCTAAGCTATGGGGCATGTGTGATACCAGATAAATACATGGGTCATCCCTACCCTTAAGCCTCTCATAGTCTAGTTAAAAATTAACGGACATGGGCATAACGATCCAAAAAGACTAACTATTTTTCAAGTCTCATTTAATCATGAAGACAATTTAAAGAAATCCTAGCTCTCACTTACTTGAAGAATGATCTTTCATCCCTTATTACAATTTGTTCTATTCCAAAAATTTAAGAATGAAAAAAATCAGTGTGAACTAGAATGGTCGAAGATGCCAGAAGATCGATGTTACTTGAATATTGAAGAATGGTAGGAACTTCTGACCTGAAAATAATTAGCTTCCTTCTCTTAAAAGAAAGTCAGATGATTTTCTTACAGTAAGAACCTGACATTGTTGAATCCTATCTCAAAACATGATTGGAAGGAATCTTAGCCTTCACCCTGTTTGAAGAGTGACCATTCATCTCTTACTACAATCTGCTCTAGCTCTCACATTGTTCTCATATCTGCTCCCCAACTTTTTGAGTTCCCTAATTTTCTTCATCTTGAAAGATCCACCTATGTGAGCCGGACGGAAGTTCTAGGTTCTTGATTACTCTTACTTTTTCTTTTAGGTGACAAATCTGACACTAAGTTTTTCCTTCTCGGTTCTGCAAGACATCCCAGTAAGAGATCTGAAGCCAGCAATTATCAAAGTCTACGATTACTATGAGACAGGTGACGAAAAAAACTGGGACAATTAAACAATCTCAACCAGAGCCAAGAAATAGATCCTGTTGTGACAATTATACCTTTATTTCCTCCAAGATATATATTGTGGAAGCTACCTATGGAACAAATTTATCAGTTAATATTCATTGAGTCAGGAACTTAAAAATTTTAAAAGAAGGATAATATATTGTCACTGTCCTCAAGTAGGATGGGTCATTCTCTTGGAAGAGGGAAAGAGAAATAACTAAATCAATCAATGACTCAACACTTCTGCTCAGATGAGATGTATGTCAATTCTATTTACATTTTGTTGGCAGTCACACAACCTGGTCTGACTTCAATGCCTTAGTAGTGAGTAGTGGGGTGGTATGACTCCTCCCACAGGCAGGCACACAAGTCACATGGCAATTTGCAGAAATACGTAGTTCTTTTACAGGGACAACAGTAAATAATTAAGAAAAATAATGCAATTCCATACAGGAGTGAAGCACAAATATAACTTAATCTACCCAACTGTCTCAAAAGCAAGTCTTTTTGTGTGTGTTTAAAGTTATTTTAAAGTTTGTTTTCATGTAGGAAACATATATTTCTTGTTCAGTTTATTTCTAGGTATTTCATTGTATTCTTACTGAAAATACTGATGTGGTCTTTTGTTATATAAACAATTAGTTGTTATCTATAAATATTTGTTATGGACTTCTCTTGTATTACAATATAACTAATGCCATAAAATACACAAATTTTAAAAGCAAGGCTGGACCAATTTTTTATTTATGATTAAATTCTATGAAACCTTTCAAAATCAGTCCATTCTCCTTGGTTATCCTGCAAACTCAGATCGCTGATGGGTGCAAGAAAAGTTATAATTTTGTATATTATCCCATTTTTTTCTTATTGTTAAAGTGAAAGTGACATTTTATTCCAGTTTTCTGTATTCTACATGGAAGCAGAACTCCAAATCAACATTTTGCAACTCATAATGAAATAATGGGTCTAAGTCTTGAACACCAGCAGTCGCTAGCATCGCAAAAAGTGAAATAATTAGACACTGTGGATCCTGGTGGATGAATAAAACACTAACTATGAAGTAGCAATGTCAAAAAAAATCAGATCAAATTCTGCTCAAGCCTTAGACACACCTATTAATGTTTAGAAAATGCAGAGCTCAAAGAAACCTGTTAAATTATATTTTAAGGAGATCATTGGCAAAATTCATACTGTGGAAAGCAAACATTCCAATTTCTCCAATAAATAAATCATCTTAGCAAGTAGTCACAAAGTATGTATCTAATTTTTGAATCTCAATTCCAAAAATTATGACGTTTAATAAGCAATTAAAATTGTCACTGGTTGAATATTTAAATACTTATGATATTAAAATATTTTTACCAAATGTTTATGTATGATAATGATATTTTGTTTCAAAAAATAATCCTTATCTTCTGGAAATATATACGGAAATAACTGCAGATTTTACTTCAAAATGATAATAGGAGATTATCATGTACAGTGGTAAAATGTAGATGGCAATATGGATGAGATATGTGAAGAGCATAATTGTACGTGGGTTAATGGATATTGGGTCTGAGTATTGTAAGTACATTTTACTATTATAGTATGGTGAGTATGTCTGGATTCATTATGCTATTTTGTTTAATTTCATTTTGTTTGAAACTTTCCATTATAGAAACTTAAAATTAAGAGTAAATAACAAGAAAAGTTGCAAAGCTATTTAAACTGAACAATAATTTAAACATTATTTAGAAAAATGCCTGGGTTATTTAAAGTGAAACTTGTAATTATACAAAAGGGGACCCCAATAAATGGAATTATTCTTTGGAGGGTGGGCACTTTGTGTCCAAGCTTCCCTTGCTAGGTAAGTGTTCTAGGAACTCATTGTCATCGGTGTACCAGCTAGTATTGTTGTGAGAGCTTGCATTTGGTTTCAGTGAAATTTTTTTTTTCAAGATTTCTTTCAACCCATTTGGCCCATTTTACGATAGGTGATTTACGAGCACACCTGCCCACACCACACTGAGTATTCAGCAGTTTTTTTTTTACCAAAAATGGCATTTACACCTTGCCCCACCTTCCCTATTCACCCACTCTCACCCCGATCAACTGTTTTTTTGTTCCCCCAGATGAAAAAAGTTCTCAAAGGAAAACGTTTGCCCATGTGGAAGAGGTGAAGCAAAAACAGCAGAAACACTAAAAAGCATCAAATTGATGAGTTCAGAACTGTTTAGAGCAGTGGAAAAAGTGTCTCAATAGGTGTATTGCATAACAGAGAGTATCTGAAGATGGCTAAAGTTTAAACATGCAAGAATAAATCCATAATTTTTTATAAATAAGTTCCATAGTTGCCGGGCGTGGTGGCTCATGCCTGCAATCCTGGCACTTTGGGAGGCAGAGGTGAGAGGATTGCCTGAGCCCAGGGGTTGGAGACAAGTCTGGGCAACTTGGTGAGACCTCATCTCTACAATAAATCCAAAAATTAACTGGATGGGCTCACCTGTAGTTCCAGTTACTTGGAAGGTTGAGGCAGAAGAATTGCCTGAGCCCAGCAGGTCGAGGTTGCAGTGGCCATGAGTGTGCCACTGCACTCCAGCCTGGGTAACAAGTGAGACTCCAACTCAAAAAAAAAAAAAAAAATTCCAGTTTTTGGGTCCCTCCTTATATTTCATAAAACTAAACTACATATATTGAAAATTAAGAAAGATCTTAAAACATTATATGAGCTTTTGAAAAAAATAGCTAGAAATGAAAAGAAAAATATAAAGAAAGTCGACAGAGGAAACCATGAAAAACAGAAATCAATAAAATAGAAGTCAAATAAATGATAGACTCAAGAAAATAGTTTGTATTCTAAAGGATTAATAAATAATAAGTACTATTAAGTGATAAAAGTTAAAATAAAGATTAATATAATAGATAAATTTTAAAACCCAGATTAAAAAATTATAAAAAATAAAAATTATACAAATTATCAAATTAACTTGAGAGTATATGGAAAAATTGAATAAACAAATGACCAGAAAGAAATTGAATCAGTAGTAAAAAGTAGTTCTTCACCTACAAAAGATAGTAACCCAAAAATATTTTATAGAAAAGCTTTATCTAGCTTAAAAGAAAGAGATAAATATACTATTTAGTTAAGCAGAATAAGATTACCTACGAGTTTAATATCACTAGAGCATTAAAAAAACATCAGTCTTACTTCTGAATATAAAAGTTCAAAATAAAATATTGCCAATTTGTTTTCAACTGTGGATTATATTTAATCTTATAATACCTGTTACATCACTAAATTCCAGAAGCTCAACAACTCATCACAGTAACCCAAGCAGATGGAGACTTTATCACATTTAAAGTGTCCCTTCCAAAGCATGCTCATCCAGCAAGCAAACAGGGAAAGAGAGTGAAAAAGCTCACTGGAGGTTTTAATGCATCCAACCTGGCTGCAATGTACATCACACTCACTCTTATTCCATTAGCCAGAATGCAGTCAAATGATGACATCCTCTATGTGCATATCCAGGAGGAAAGGGAAAGAGATTTGGTGCAGAGCCAGCCAGTCTCTGCTATAAGCCAAGTATATCAAGGGTGCCAAAAAAATGTATACACATTTTAAGAGATGTTATCTATGTATTACTCTTTCGAAGTTAAATTGAATTAAGGTAGCAATGGGTAGTATGATGCTCGTTCAAAAGATGGCGTTAATATTTTGTATTGGTATATATGAAGTATTACAATTTTAATACAATTTTTTCCTTTCTTAAAATGTGTATATGTTTTCTGGCATAGATATATATGTGTATCTATGTAGCCATGTTCTAGTTATCTACCTAAAAATCTATAGCTTCAAACAAAAATGCATTATTTTTCTTTAATGTTTCTGTGAATAGACTGGGTTAACCCTGCAGGAAAATGCTTGGTTTCAGTCTCTCGTGCGGTTTCAGTTAGATGTTGACTGGGGCTACAGTCCTCTGAAGAGTCAACTGAACTAGATGTTCAAGACAGCTCCTCATATGTCATGCAGTCAATGCTGTCCAAGACCTGGGAGCTCATCTGAGGATGTCAACAAAAGTGCTCACACATAACCTTTCCCTCTGGTACAGGATTCTCACAACATGGTGGCAAGACTCCAAATGGGTGTGTCCCAAGTCCAAGCATTCCAGGGAGCCAAGGAAGAAATTAAAAGGCCTCTAAGGACCTAACTTTGAAAGTTACATACTTCCATCCTGTACCTTTTTTTCTAAAGCAAATCACAAAGAAAGCCCAAATGTAAGGGAGAAAACTACAAAGGACATAAATACTTGTTTATTGGGGAATAATATTTAGCAGTCGGATGCCATAATCTTCCCTTAGGACATTGGTGATTAGCATCTCTCCTGTATGCAAAATACACTCCTCCATACACCCTTCCATCATTCGATGTCTCATTATATTATGGTATTAGTCTCAGGCTTGAAATCTAAGAAGTATAATTTCTCTCAAACTGAAGACGTTTAAACTGAGGAGACAAGTCATCTGACATCACACAGCTAAGAACAGACATAGGATAACTTTAACAGCTATTCTTGTTCAAATTGGTACAGAACAGGAGACACATGTCAGTTATTGATCCATACCTACTCTGAAATCCAGCCAGGCACATGTCACCAATTCTCCAACTAGGGCTTAGTCCTGATTCCTCAGAGTAGTTCTCTGTTGGTCTGGGTTTATTCTACATGCTAACCCATCCTTTCTTTTCCTTAAGAAAGAGTATATGTTCTCAGTTGAGATTTCTCTGCCTTCTTTCTTTCTATACAATCTGAGGGCTCTGAAAGCTCTTTTCATTTTGAATTATCTCTGTCCTTTGAAGTCCAATCTGGCAGACTTCTACAATTCTTTTTTTAAATGCTGTGGGTTCCTATAAGTCTCAGTGAGATTTATTCCATAAGACAAAAACAACACTTACAAATCTCTTCAACAGAGGCTCCTCTCTACCTCAGGCTATCTATGAG